TCATCATTGAATGGCCAAGAAACATTCCTCGAGGATTCAAGTGGGCAACGATGGAAAGTAAAAGTATCCATTCTGAATGATTCCTTTGTTTTACAAGAGGGCTGGAGTGCATTTGCCTCAGACCATGGGCTAGAACTTGGAGATTTTATAATTTTCAATTACATTATGGGATCACACTTTGAAGTCCATATCTATGATAAGAGTGCATGTGAAAGGCTGGATTTTTCTGAGAGAAGAAATCAAAAGGAAAGGACTGGAAATAACACTCAAAATTTGAACACTGAATATGGTCAATGCCTCCCAAAGGATAAAGGTTCAATGAACGTAAATGTGTCAAGTACCCCTAACCTCGCTGGTGAGGAGATTTGTCAAGGCCAGAGCAAGTTGAAGAATGATGTGTTAAAAGCCAAAATGGTCGCAAAAAATACTTCAACTAATAAAAAAGAGACTGGAGCTGAGAAGATTGTTTCTAAAGCAGAACGCGTTGAAGAATCAAGTGACATGATCAATAGAGAATTAGGGAAGAAACATGAAGATTACGGGGAAACTTTAGTTGACTTGTCTAACTGGGGATTGTCGAAAGCCAACTTGGGCATTGAAGGAAGCAGAAAAACCAGAGCTGGTTCTAAGAGATTGTCTCATCATGCTGGTGCCTCCTTTAGATCCCAAAAAGAAGCTGGCCTGGGTAGCAAAGAGACTAGATAAAGGGTGAGAAAGTACACGAGAGAAAAAGGAATGATGATTTTGACATGAAGAACCAGTTGGTAGATGTTGCTGATAAAAATTCTAGTGAGAAGCATTGGGCTTATATTGTGCTTGATTCATTCCATATGATTAGCTCTTTGATAGCGACTACTGATGAACCTTATCTTGTATGCTTTTCTTTAACCTGACGAGTTCTCCAAATCTGATTTTGCACTACAAACTATTCCCTTGCGATGTTATTTTATATATATATAAAATACCCTGCCTAAGTTACCATGGCCTTATCATAAATGCTGTTATGCTGCCAGTGCTGGTTTGTCGATGCTTTTAAAGAGCTGTTTCTGAATTTTGTCCAGTTGAGGCTACATCACAAGATGTTGCCATTGCAGAATGTCCTTGTCGATCCGAAGTACATTGTTATATGTAATGATAGAAGGTTGCACGCTTTATTTTTTGATTCTTCAGAGCTCTACATGCTTGTAATATCCTGTGCTTTGCTCAGGCTTGAGCAACCTGCTATGTTGTTTTTTTGGCAAATGAGATCTTCATCTATTAAAGAAACACAGAGAAAATGTAAAGTATTTTATTTTATTTTATTTTTATTCTTAATATTATGACATCAAACATGATAAAAGAATGTCTTAAGAAATTATTAATTTGATTTTTCTTTTTCAAGTAAAAAATACTTTAAAAAATAATTTGAAAAGCATAAACAAATAATCCCCGTACTTTCTTTCCTATGTTCACTTTGATTCCTGCTTACCAACTCAAAACTCTTGAGGGTTTCCCCCTACTTTCTCAGCCAGAGCCAGAGCCTTGTAAGTTCTCTCCCCAAACTTTCTTCTTCTTTTTTGACCTTTTGGTCTCTTATTTAACTTTAAGATCATTTCTTTAATTACTTGATTTAGGCAAAAACAATAAAAAATTTATACTTTGAAGAAACCACATTTCAAGGATATTTTTATCGGATTTAGTCTTGGTCCCAACTTGTTTTCCTAGTGGAATCTTAGGTAATGTTTTTTAGATTAATATAAATGTTTGCATCAGTTTGTGCATGTCATAACTATCTTTATAAGTTTTAAAGTTAACAATTATATAAATATTTAATGATCCTAAAATTTATGAGACTTGAACCATTTGAGGAGCAAATTCAAAATTATCATAAAAAATTATGCGTTGATCATCTAAAATTTTATTTTTTTCTATTACTTCTAGAATATATTTGATATTAAAATCTTGGTGATGTAGATTGGATTAAATTATTTTAAACAAGAAATGTATTCTGTCATTATTAACATTTTTCTAACATAATTTCTTTAAAATTATAGTCATTTCAATGTTCTTCACAAATGTAAACAAGCTGATTTATCCCCCATAAGTACGGTGATGAACAATGAACTCCTATATAAAAAAAAAATTATGGTGTGTACAAAACTCCTTCGTTCACAAACCCTCCAATTTCTGCCATTGTGTAGAAAATGCCAGTCGTGCCTGCCTGCCTAGCATATCTTCATAGAATAAGGTTACTAACTATCTTGAAGTACTCATAATTATTGTCACCAGCTCCCCAGTTCCTCGAATCCATGATATCAATGTGACAAGTATAATGCCATATAACATGCTACTAATTTCCTTCATTAACCCATAACATGTGATTGGTAAACCTACTGAACCAAGCTAGAATATTGGCCTCCGTATTTCGCCGGAAATGCATTCTCCGGTCACCAGATTTGTGCTCGAGCAGGCGGTTACCGTCAGGACTGGTCAGGCCCAACAAGGCCAACATCTTGATGGACTTGCAAGCCCAGAAAAGCAATAAAGAGCCCGATACTGGCCACGCAAGCAAGCTGGACTGGTTTTGGTATGATCCTAGCAGGCTTTTCTCTGGACCCAAGAGCTGAAACTACCACAAAAAGGCACAGCCTTGAACCAAGACTATTGCCATTGCAGTCTTGAATGAAATAGGCCCAGAAACATGAAACCCTACCAATTATAAGCTACAAAAGCATTAGGACCCATACCTGGGGCCAAACCCAGAGGCAAATTTGCCAAAATTCCCATAGATATAACCTTATTTCGTATTCAAGGTAATAAATTTTAAATTAATAATAAATATTTAATTTTTTAATTTTAGTTTTTTAATTTTAATATTTTATGTTCCTTTTATTTTAATTTTTTTAATATTAAAAAAATTATTTATGGAATTACCAATTGACTAATTCCCATAGCACATGACCTTATTCTATCCTGAATGTATTGTTAATAATTTTTAAATTAATAATAAATATTTGATTATTTTAATTTAATTTCTTTTAATTTTTTTCTTTTTTTTTTTAATTTTTTCAAATATTAAACAAATTATTTATGGAATTATCGCATTAAAAAGTTTAAAAGAGTTAAAAATATTACATGAAATGCTATTGACCATTACAAATAAAATCATCAATGGATTAAATTATTTATAGAGTTCTAGAGAGTTTAGAAAAAAATTATAAGAAATATTACAAATAATATATAAATCACCGGTAATATAAATAAAATAACTGATATACATGTTAACAAGATTATGCTGGTAAATGTTTTTTATTTGAAGTGTTTTTTATGTAAATTTATTGATAATTATATTTTTAATGAATTGATTGATAAAATAAAAATCACTAAAAATAAGTATTTTTGATGAATAATATATAATTTAATAGTAAATATTTTTTTTTAATAGAATCAGTGTTTAAATACCAACGGACAAAACTGTCCATGACATGCAAAAATTATAGAGTGTGCTGCACTGTGGTTGCACTTTTGCACAAAAAAAAAAAAAAAACCCGATCTACAGTGTAACACAGATTATCTATCTATTACGCACGCTAGTGGGGGTGGGGACTGAGTCGGGAGGGGTCTCGGGAGGTTGCGGTTTTCAAGTTATTAGTATATGATGATTAGGTTTGGAGTAGATTTTATGATGTATCAGATAATGGGATTCTAGCTGAATAGAATACCCAAGCTCCATAATTAGCGTGATTCTGAATTGATGAGTATTTAATCAAATTCATGAGGTGATTGTGTTCTTCAATGATAAAGACAATGATTTAAATTTCCTACTCGTTTCCAAGCTTTGCCGGTGTGCTAAATGACAAGGCAGAATCCGACCTTCAAGAACATTTTCCATCCCGGAACTACTAGGAAGAGGCCAGCTCCGAGCATATTACTGTGCTACATTCAAAGGAAGGGAATACGCCTGCCCAGAGGTTAAAGTTCCACTTCAACTTTTGTTTTAGAACCAATTACTGACAAGATGGCGAAAGATTGCTTCTGTAGATGCAAGAGACTAAACTAAAACATTAGAAACAGGCGACATTCAAAATCATAACTGAAACTCGAGCTCACAAAAAAAAATGTAGAATAACTTGGAATCACACAGCAGACCCTGCATGTCATGAATGAAAACACTCAAACTATATGTTTCTGCTTCAACAAGGACCGAGTGATTGTGAACAATGGATGAATTCTTAGGCATGAGTTAGTCAATATACCAACATTTTTCCAAATCTTTTGGTAGCTGATGTTGAAGCTTCATGTATTGGGAAGCTGTATAGCGTTTATTCTTCTTTTTTGCCTCAGTTTCATGAACTAGTTTCGGTCTCTTCTGCTCCTTCCGCCTTCTGCTCCGCTTCTAATATCACCAACTGAGCACACAGAAAAGAAACGGAAAACATCAGGAAGACCATAAATGTGAATAGATTTATATCTTTTGGCAGACCCCTTCTGCATAAACCCTGGGATAGAATGTCGGAAGGATTACCTCATCAAGAATTGTTTAAGTTCCCTGATCAAGCTTCAGTGAGATCTAAACCATCCTTGCGAGGATCCTGTAATGCAAATGACACATAATGCTGGACAGAAACAAGAACCCCGCTTGTTCACACAAGTGCACGGGAGAGACCGTAAATTAATTTTTAAATCTCCACTTAAATTTTTGTTAGATCCTAGTTCGGGTTTGATAGCGATACAATACTTGTGTTTGGGTCGGGTAATAATAACAAACTCGTGACTGAGTTTCACAACCACACAAGATCCAAACTACTTAGATTTGATCATCATGTTTGGATTTCATATAGTTGCTGCATCCAGGTGTGGATCTGATATTATTTATTAGATCCGAAGAATCCACTTACTTAAGTTTAATAATATTATTAAAATATTATTATATTTTTAATATTTTTTTAAATTATATTATACCACAACGGATGGCATGCTAATATACTAGTCTGTATATATATATATATAGTAAAATTAATAACGTCTCATCCAATAAAATATAATTCAGCTCAAAGAAGAAAAAAGAAAAAGGGAGGCTCTTTATCCATTTCAAGATTTAGAGAGTAGCGAGAGACATGTCATTCAAAATCTAAGCCCAAGCCTCCGGCACTTACTTATTTATTTATTTTTGCTAGGTTTGTTTGGATTTAATTCTGAAAAAAAGCCTCCTAAATTGATGCAGTAGAACAAAATCGAGATAGCTGTAGCAGTAATCTGAAAGCAACTGAGAAAGGAGGAGAACAAATTAAATAAAAAGGAAGACAGGCGAAGAAGATGAAGACGACGAAAGGAGGCAAAGTTATGAACCCTACGGATGCTTATCGAAAGGAACTCCGTAAGAAGGAATTAAAACGGGTAATTAATTATTTCACTTCCAATTGTTTTATAATTATCACTCTTTTTGTTTAGGTTTTAATTTAATCCCTGTCAGAACCGTCAATCGTAATCTTTGCAAAATTTCATTCAATTGCTTTGCTTTTCCACTGAAATCTGCTTCCCTTTTTTTTCCCTTGTTTGGTATAATGATTTTTCTGATTGGATTTGATTTATTTATTTTTATTTGTTTATTATGTTGTGGTAAGTTAAAAAAATTATATTACAAAATTGCTGTCATTTTAGCTTGGAATTTTTAAAATTCTTGCGATTGTGTTTGACACTAACAGAACAAGAAGGAAAGAAAGAAGGTGAGAGAGGTGGGGATTTTGAAGAAGGATCCTGAGGTGATAAAGGATCAGATAGAGAAGTTGGAATTGATGAGTAAGCTTTTTAACTTCTAATTGTTGAATCTTATTTTTTATTACCTGCAGTAGAGTAGTTTATTAGTCATTTCGAATCATTTTTTATTTTTTATTTTTCTTTCCTGAAAGTGACTATAGTAGAATGTATATTTTGTTATTTCTAGTTAATATGGGTTTTTAATTATGGGTTTTATTTTAAATTGTACACCACATAAAATATTAGCAAAGAACATAGGCTGTGTACAAAAGTGGCTGCAAAATTTAATGAAAACAGCCTAGAGAGAAGATGATACCTTTATCTTAATCTTGAATATAGAATGTTAAACTCCTTCTAAGCTATGCTTTGATCTTATATTACGTTAAACATACCGCATTGCTGCTTGCGTAACCAATTGATATTTTATCCTTTGTATTGTTCCCTCTTACACTCCAAAGACTCAAGTACTGTTTCTGGGCTGCTTGGCATGAGCTGCATGAATGGTGTAATGGCAAGCATTGTGTAGTTTGTTAGAGTTTTGAAATTTAATGACCGCACAGCTCATAATATGGTTGTCAATTCCGAGATAGTGACCTAAAGAGTCTGGTTCTCTTAATTAACAAGGTACTGAGTACACAAATTTAGAGGAGAGAGAGGCTACTGGTGAAAAAAGAGAAGAGAGGGAGGGGGCACAATCTTTTCAGCCTTTGTGCTAGTATGTGTATGGCCTCACACATCAAATGTAGAATATCTATCTGTTATGAATTCTCTTGTTCATGAAAGATAATTTTTGGGTTATTATGAACCCCTGAATCTTCTAGTATGTCATTTACTAAAAGTGAGTACAAAAGAGAAGATTCTTACAATATATAGTTTTGAGCCACTCTACGGTTGCATTAGCTTCTATTTGCTATGCATCAGTTTTCAATAACTGCTCTTCATTTTATTGCTCGCTGGTGTGCTCTAGACTATGCTTTTGCTAAATCTAATTTTCAAATGAAGCTTGGTTTGGCAGCCTTTCCATTTGAACTTATTTGTATGCTGTATTGGTGCAGAGGCTGATGGTGCTTTAGACAAAGCAAGAAAACACAAGAAAAGACAACTTCAGGATACTCTTAGCCTTGTTTTGAAGAAGAGAAGGGTAATGATTATAATGCCATATTTTCTGCTCCTCCATTTAATTCTATCTGTTTGTGTATCCAAAAATTAAAACAGTGGTCTGGTAATTCAAGTTTGAAATATTCAAGAATCTGGAAAATAACCTACGTTTGATGCCTGAGCTGCATACACAATCATTGCACCATTCAAGTTAGGTCCATGAATCAGTAGGAGTTTAACATTTCTATCTATATAGACATAAGTAGCATCCGTTATACTAATGTGATAACCATTTTCTGTACTCTCATGGACAGGAATATGAAGATAAAATGAAAGAGAAGGGTGAAACCCCTGTGATGTTCAGGTGAAGTATCCTCTCTTTTCTTATCCATTTCTGCTTTTGTCCATGAACCATTAGGGCTTACACACCTTTCTTCTATTGACAAATTGCACTTTTGTCTTCTGCGGCAGTCATTTGGGCCCTCTTCGAAGGACATCCACAGAAGAAGAAGAACGGGCCAAGCATCCAAAGCCTGAAGTATGCCTGGCTGGCTTTATTTTGCTTTTGTGAATTAGTGCTATTTGGCCTCATAATTACTTACCAAACATTTGTTGTTGCAGGACTCTGTATACTATCACCCTACTCTGAATCCTACTGGAGCCCCACCACCTGGAAAGCCTCCCATGTATAAATCATCTATAGGTCTGTACCCTTCCTTTTATTTTTCAGGTTTAAGATATGCTGTTGGAATTATGTGGTGTTTCTAACTTTGCTTTTAACTTTGACCTACAGGGCCCCGAATACCTTTATCCGGTGCTTCATCCTCTGCAACTGAATCAGAGGATGTTGCTTTAAAAATACCTCCTCCTTTGCCAGAGAGCGGTGAATTAGGCCTTGGTGATAGCTCTGTTATACCTGCTTCATTGCCCCTACCTCCTCTACCTCCGATGCCACCAAAGCCTGCAGATTCAAGCTTGGGCATGTCATTGCCTCCACCCCCCTTACCTCCCCCTCCTCCAGGTCCTCCACCAAAAGACCAAGTATTGAGTCACACACCTCTTCCTCCACCTCCACCCCTCCAACAGTCTGCTCAGCCGCCACCACCTGGCACAAATGAAAGCGAGAGGGAGACCAACATATCGGCATTGTTAGATGAATCATCCTCCAATGATACTGTTCAGGTGAACTCTTTACCTTCTTTATGCATGCTGTTGAAAGCAGGACAGAACTGTTAGACATTGTACACTAATTGACTAAAAAATAAAATAAAAATGATTTGTCTTGGTGGACGGGAAAAGCATATGCATGTGCTTGGTAGTCTAGCACCAAGAAAAGGCTCATGTACCCTGCCCGAATCTCAAAAACTTGGTCCATTCAGCTCAAACCAATCTAAAGATATGAAATGAATGTTCTTGTACACTAGTGTGAAATCAACTCGTCTAGTTGTGAACTATTTAGTATTTACAAGCAGAGTTTTTAAATTTGCCTCACTGTTCTAAACTGAACCAGTCTCTGATTTCTCAAATACCTTTCTAGAAGCTTTCCATTCTAATCTTTTAGATAGAGAAATTGTTGTCAAATATTAATATGAAAGATAATTGTGGTTAATGTGACATCTCATTGCTCTAATATAGGTACCTGCTTCACTCCCTCCACCTCCTCCAATTGCAATTCCACTTAAGTCAGCTACTAATCAGACTGAAGACACTTCATTTGAAGCTGATGCCAATACCACAGCAACTATGGATAACCCTAAAATGGTTCCCCCACCACCTCCTCCTAGGCAACAGCCTCGAGCACCTGGACCAGCCTTGATCCCAGCTTTACAGCCTGATGTATTACCCCCTGGAATATTGCGTTTCCCTCCACCTCCACCTCCACCTCCACCAAATATGCGGCCACCATTATCAACCCCTGGAATTCCCAACCAAATGGCTCCTCCAGGGGTGACGGTCCCATTTATTCCCAGACCTCCTTATGGTCCTCCACCTGGACCTCCTCCAATGATGAGACCACCCCTTCCACCTGGTCCTCCTCCTTTACAAGAAGATGCTGCAAGTAGGCCACCTGTTCCTCAGAAACCATCATATGTAAAATCTGCTGCATCCACTGTTGTTAAAAGGCTGCTAGCACAGCACACTCCAGAACTTACAGCTATGGTGAGTTTGGCTTTTCCTATCAGTCCTCTTCTTTTTACTTCCAATTTAAAAACTACGCTGCTCTGCCTTCTCAGTGTACTACACTATAGAAGAAAGAATTATATGGTTGAAATTTCTCCCTTTTTTTTTTGTGCAAAAGTGCAACCACAGTGCAGCACACTCTATAATGAGTTTGATTCTTCATCGCTTGTCTACTGTTAGAGCATCAATAGTTATTAGGTTTCTACTCTGAGGCAACTACCTGATGTGATTACTGACCAGTAACTATGATTTGTGGATGCTGAACATTCATCCCTACAATCCTGGATTGCTGTGCTAGTATAACTTGACAAGAAGCCAGTAAATGGATTGAGTGATAAGGCATATCTTGAAGGAAAAAAAAGCCAACACCAGTCATTATTGAATAGTCCAATGAATGCTAATCGTTCTACCTGGGAATTTCATGAAGGGGTGCATGCACCCTGCTTGTGTTAGCTTGTAGCGGTTAGTTAGAATTAGCTAGAATATTGCCACATAATTGCCTGGTTTATCTTTCTGCATTGAAACAATTTTATATTTCTCTGGAAGAGCAAGCCTTCATGTGCGTTACAATTCCAGTTTCATTAAATTATTTTAGAGTCAAGCCTAACTTCTGGTCTTCTTTCAGGTTCCTGCCTCAGTTCGAGTGAGGAGAGAGGCTGTCATCCCTAAACCAAAACCAAAAGCTGGAACCTCAAATACAGCAGTAGCTACCAGGCCAACAGCTCCAATCACTGTGAAGCCGGAGTCTACTAACTCATCATCAGCTCCAAAGTCTCAGAGTATTGATGACTCATATATTGCCTTTTTAGAAGACATGAAAACCCTTGGTGCTCTCGATGGTTAATATCATTATAGCTGGTGACGGGGGCAAAGATAAGGCAAGCCGTGCTTGAAATCAAAGTGAACAAATGTGTACAGGCTACTGTGGTGGATCCAGGGATTGAGCAGAAATATTTGGTATTGCCAATGTCCTAGGTTCCATTATCACTGTTCTGTCTGGACCCTCTCACTGTATCATCAATGCTCTGTTTAACAATTTCAAAAAATATTAAAACATCTCGATTATCGAGGCTGGGGTAAGTCTGGCCATTGTTTCTGGAACGTAGATATGTTGACTTGGATCAAGCTGGAAACTGTACTGGATTGAAGATTAGTATTTCCTTTCTCATCTCATTTGTAGCTTAGTGATTTTCAACATCTGTAAGAGATGTTTTTAAATTATACAACACCTTTTCATTGATAAATGAGTTGCTGAACATTGGTGCTGCCTGTTCTGCTTGTTTTATGTTCTTCATGTCCCAGGTTACACGCAAAGATTTCACCAAAATTGGACAGTTGATGCTGTTTATTGGATCCAACGAAAATAATTTGATTGTGATAAATTACACTGCTTGGTTCCCTCTCAAAAAATTGAATGGTAATGGATTGCCTTTCCATTTCTTATGATGTAGTGTAATTTGGCTAGCTAACAAGATGACTCCAGTCTCGCTGAAATAAGATAGTTGTATATTGTAAGAGATGCTTCTTGGGTACTTGATAGGATGAATTATTTTTCAACATTTTTGTGATTCAAATCTGGAATCCTTATTCCTTGTCCTATTTTCATTCTATTCTCTGTCCCTTGCGTATCAAATGTAAACTTCATGGATAACACAGGATGTATTTTTTTTAGGGTAAATTGTGTTCTTCCTCCAAAAGCACGAGGAGTGAAGGGCTAATAAGATGTAAACTGTGGGTTTGAACCTCAGAGGACTCTCACATGCTATCCTTATACTGAATCTTCCCCTCCAAACAGGTTTGATGCAAGCTAAAATTACAGGTCTTGCTTGTTTGTTTTTATGTTTTTAAAATATTTTTAAAAAAAATTATTTTTTTATTTCTTTACTTTAAATTAATGTTTTTTTTATTTTTTATTATTATTTTGATGTACTAATGTAATAAATAATTTTTTTAAAATAAAAAATATTATTTTTATATATTTTCAAATTAAAAATACTTTAAAAAATAATTATAATTACATTTCTAATCATGTTATTGATCTCTCATAACAACATGGAACATGCTATATATTACATGGGGTACACGTGTTAATTTATTTATTTTTAATCATTAAAAAAATATAAATAATTTTTTTAAAAAAAACTAATATACAAGTCATTTACTCGAATGAATTTAATAAATTTAGTTAAGTTAATAACATGATTAAAAAGAAAATTATCAACAACAAATAAAATAATTATAATCATACCTTGAAGATTATTATTGAAATTTATTTTTGAGAATAATTAAATCATTTTATTATTCTAAACAAAATAAAATAACATAAAAGCTTCTAGATGATAGTTTTAAGAATTTTATTATTAAAGGTAGATTAATAAGTTTACTATGTTAAATAAAAAAGATAATCATACCTTCAATTAATCTTATAATAATAATGACTTGTGCAAAAATATAAAAATACCCCCCTAACACCATCCCTAACATCAAGGTTATTGATTTTGATAAAATGATAATTATATTATTACAATAAATAATAAAATATTTCTATTATTATTGTGTTTTTCCTTTTATTTTAGCTTTTTTTTATATATATATTCATGACAATGTATAGATTCTTATAATTGTCATATCAATATATTTATTAATATATTTTATATTGAATCAAGAACTAGTTTAATGACGTTGTGACTTAGATTAAATTTTTTTAAATATAAAAAATTATTTATGCTGTAGAAATTTTTTAATATTATTTTTAATCTCAACCCAGTAAATCAATCTTGAAACTTTATTACAGACCTCGGTTTCAATTTTTTTTTTTTTTTTTTGTGATGCCCACACTAGCTTAAGGAAAATATTTTTTCTTTTTTTCCTGTGGTAAGGTAATGCTTTTTGTCTACAGAAGAAGTTTAAACTTGGCGACAACCTCAAAACTGTAGGATCATAAAGTATCATACAATTGTTCTATGTTATCATCCATAAGACGACTAAGATCATCATACATTCATGCCAGCTTGCCGGTATCTACTCTTAAGATTAACCTGTAAATTATCTTTTGGATGCCAGAGGGTGAAAGGTTTTATGCTTAGCTGTTTACTTGCACAATCTTTTTATCTGTGCGGAAGAAAACAAGCGTATTCTACTCTGGCTATTTCAATACTGACTACGATGTTGATCCCCCTTTCAGTCTTACTGTTTATTTGCATCAAAGGTACGATGCTTTGTTCTTGAAATCTTTCTCACTATTTATTGACTTTATGCAACATTCTCATGAACATTTTATCCATCTACGGTGAAATTAGCAAGGGCGAAGCCGTTGTAGCTGATGGTAATTTGTTTTTTCAATTCGAAGTTTCCTGTGTTAATTTTTATGGCTTATGTTTCCATAGTTAAATCATGACTAAGATAATGATATCGTTGACTGTCAATCAGCTACGATCAAGTTGCAATTCATAGGGTTATGCTATATTTGAAAACTCGCTGCATCAATCAGCTACTATGAAGTTGCATCTTACTACGAGAAGAATGGGACGAACAGGAATCAAAATCTGTTGAAGAAATGGAGGGTGAGAAGAGGAAGAAGAATGATTTAAAAGATTTATTGACTCTGAAGGTACAATGGAGAAATGAATTCCATAAGAATATCTGCAGGAAGCTAAAACTCACATGAATTTCCGTCAAGATTCTTGGTGTGGTATCTATTATCCATGATAGAGGCATCTGTTGAAGAAAACATTAAGTCCATACAACTTGCTGTTCAAATTGATCAACCATATATTGGCCTTCTTCTTCGTTTTCAAATTGCATCCTACACAGAATGCCAGGAATTTGAACATGCTTTGTATCATTTTCCTCCCCTAATAATTTATGTTAATACAGTTTAGACAGTCTCTTCAATCCACTGTTTTGAAAATTCCATGGCATGTTCACAATTGAGATTAGTTGCTCAATGGAGGTTCTTTTTTTAGAAATGAAAGGTCATGCCATGTTTCACAGCCATCAAACCCTCCCTTTTGAGTTGTAGGAGTATCCTAGGAGCAAGTAACCAGCTTTAAAAATGACTACATTACCAATTTCTGCTATAAACAGTGTAAATCCTTAATTCTTGACTGGGAGATTAAATTTATCAGTTCGCATATCAACTGATAAATTAGATGCAAACGCAAATTTCAATTGCAAAACTATCTAAATTCCTGTTTACTTTAGACACCTGATCAGCTGTTTTGCGCAACTATTAGCAGCGCAAGTGAAATCATCTCGATTGATGTATTTAAATGCTCATCCCAACAGCGTACCCTGCTGTATCGGAGTTGTAGCTTGTCTTGAACTATTTTCTTGCAAAAGCTTCCAAACCTAACAATTTGCTTTTCTGGTGTCTCGAGAAAGGAACCAGACCATGAATATCTGATTGTTCTTTTCTCAGTTGAAAAGATATTCCCCTGAGGCTGCTTCTATCTCACCACCATGTTTTATCTACTTCTGGGATATACAGAAGTTGAGGTATCTTTCTCAATAACAAATATGCACCAGAAACTCAAAGCAATATACCATACCCCACAAGTGTTTTGTACCTCATTTGCCTTTTATTGCCCACTACACAACAGTGCCAAGAATGAAGGAACTGCTTGTGGTAAAAAATGCCGGTCAGCTAAGGCCATCTTCAATAGATCCACTATCAACAAGTTCCAGGTTCTGCAAGGAGATGCAATTCTAGGGATCTATGACCCTAAATGCAAGGGATATCAATTCATTTGATAACAGAAAACCATCTGGATCACTGAGCCGGATATAAGATAACCCCTTTGCTATCTCATCTTCGTTCAAAAACAAGGTGTTGAATTCATCTGCAGTCATGGCTCTTCGCTTGTCATCCAAGCAAACCACATGCCCGCTCTCGATGTAGGGTTGATAGACCTTGCAAAGAGAATGAACAAGTGATCCACCAAATGCTTCAGCAAAAGACCTCAAATCGAGGCCTCTTGCAGTTCTAAGTGAGAGCATCACTATATCCACAGCCAAGTCTTTGGCATCAACAAGATTATTCCCAAAATAACTTACCACTCTGTTCTCCAAATTCTCTACATAACCCATGTACTCTTTCATCTTCCTTGGCCTAGAAAATCTCAATCCATTGAGATAACTAGCAGAACCAAGGCCAAAACCATAGAAGGGTTTGTTCTTCCAGTATGTATAATTGTGCTTGCATTCATACCCGTCTTCACAATAACTGCTAATTTCATAATGTCTGTAACCCACATCAGTAAGCATCCTGGAAGCCATTCTATAAAACTCAGCAGATTGTGTTTCGCATGGCAAAGGAAACTCCCCTGGCGTGTACCTAACAAAATACTTGCAAGATCAATCTCAAAACTGAAAAGAAAGAAAAGAAAGGAAAAACTCCTGTTTCCCACCATGAATTCTGTTACTTACAATGCTCCAAATTTCGTGCCTTGTTCAACCTGCAGATCATAAACAGACACATGCTTAGGCCTCGCTTCGATGGTGAGCCTCAAACTCTCCTCCCACATTTGTGGAGTCTGGAGAGGCAGTGAAGAGATAAGATCAACACTCCAGTTCTCCACCCCACATGACCCCAAAATCTCAATTGCCTCATAAACCTCCTTAACCCCATGTGCCCTCCCACAAGATTTTAGCAACTCCTCCTGAAAAGCCTGAACTCCTAAAGACACTCTATTCACACCCATCCCCATCAAGTCCTTAACTTTCCTACCATCAAAGGTCCCAGGATCCATTTCCATAGATATCTCAGCACCCTCACAAACTCCAAATTTCACCCTCAACGTATCCAATATCGACAAAACCATCCTTGGGGACACCAAAGAAGGAGTCCCACCACCAAAAAACACAGTTTCAAGTGGCGGAATGGTATCAAAATCCGACCTTGTTGAGACTATCTCACGTTGAAGTAATTCAATATAGTTAGAGATTCTCGGGTCGTTGTCGGTTGGGTTTGTGGTGCCAAGAGCAACAATTGGAAAGTCACAGTAGTGGCAGCGTTTGCGGCAGAAAGGGAGGTGAATGTAAGCTGAAGTTGGAGGGTGGTTGTGTTGATGAAGTGGTGATGGTGGTGGTGTGGTAAGCGAGGCATTTTGGTGAATAGGTTGTGGGCTTTGTGTGTAGGTGTTGGTGATGATCTTCAGCCATGGAAGTTTTGTAGGGAGCCTTTTGGATTTGGTTGGAAATGTTGAGAGAATTGGAACGAAGGTTGATTTTAGCATGGTTGGGTTGGGCTCTTGTCAACGGTGCTGGCCGGCGAGAGAAAATCAGAGAGTTGCTATGGTATGACTTCAGTTTAGTTCGTTTCTGGCCGTTAAAACTATGTCCGATGAAGATGCCTTCCTGTCACTCGGATCTCGTATCTTCTTTTTTTGTATCCATGCTAGTCCGGTGACCCGCACTAGATTGCAAATTCAATATTAAATTAGTTTTTAATAAAGAAAAATCAATCCATACAAATATAATTTTTTTTATAAAATATAAAAATTTAATATTTAAAGATAAATTACAAATTTTTATTTCACAATATTGATATTTAATTCATCACCAAAATATCCCTTTACATTTTATACATGAGAGAAAGTACAAATAAAAATAAATCTCAATGTACAAAAACATATTATTATAATTTAAAAGGATAAAATTACAATTAAAAAATTTCAATAACCAAAATGAAAAATAAGTTACGCTTCGAATTATGTTTTTGTTGCTTCACAATTTCTTATTTATGTCTTGTATATAACAAAAATGATATGACAATCTAACTAATAAACTTATAATTCAATTAATCTAATCAGTAATCACTATTCAAAAGGACTACTAAAAAAACATACACAAGTTTATGAAGATTTTTTGGTATTATTATCAAACCCAAAAATAAATATAATTTTTTTGAAAAATAAAATTATTAAGATAATTTCTTAAATACAAGATAGTTGTTGAATACAAGATCTCTAGCTAGAATCATTATTTATACTAAAAGAAATATTTTATAATGGTTAAAATATGTTATTAAAATAGTATGTTTATGTTTTTTTATTGAAATTTAAAAGAATCATAAATATAATAAAATCATATTCAAAATATATTTGGAAATTTTCAAAATAAAAAAACAATTTGAATGAACAATTTATTCTTGGTATTATTATTATTATTATTAGATACATAATAATTGAAAAAAATATTATAATTCAAATATAAATTTATAATAGCATTTAAAATTCATGTTAAAATTGAGGAGTAATTCAATTTAATAAATATTTTTTAGAGCGTAAAAAAAAAATTAAAAGAGTCAAGACTAGTACTTGGCTAACCAATAACAGTTCATACTTGTGCAAACCTAGAAGGTAGGTCTGCATTGGCCTATTTAATATTTTTATTTACTCCCTATTTTTTAAAATATATATATATATATATATATAAATGATAAATTATTTATTGTTCATGTTCTTAGATATTGAATGGTTTGTTTGTTGGTTTGTTTGGTGTTGTAATTGTTGTGACTTAAAAAAACAATTTAATAAAAAATAGTTTTTGTGAGATTTGTTTTTAATTTTGATGTATTTAATTAAAATTATAGTTGAAAAAAATATTTATCATGTTTTATTAATATGCTTTTTATATGAAGTTTGAGTTAAATAGATACTTAATCTATTAATCATGCTGATAAATAAAAATTTTAAAAATCTAGCTTTGAAAATAAAATTGTTACATGGTACCTTATATTATTTAAGTTAGGTACCTAATTGTTATATAATTTTTTTTAAAAAAAATTACATGATGTAACATTATTTAACAATTAATAAATACATAATTAACTATTATATATATAATTTCTAAATATAGAATATGTCTTCAGCAATATATATATATATATAGATGTTGCCGTGTTTTATAATATAAATTTTGACCTTTTAACTTATAATAATAATAATAATAATAATAATAATAATAATAAGAGAATTTATATTGGTGTTGATCAAATAAAAATGAAGAAAGTAATATTGATGATAGATAAGTGATGAGAAAAATTAGAATCAATTAATTTGTTCATCGAAAACAGAGGGGAAGGGAAGAGAGAATGTTAGCTTGGGTTGGGAAAGTTATGTTACTTAATTAGCAGTATTGGTGAGAGAGAGTAGAACACGAACAGAAAAATAATTGTAAATTACTTTTCAAAGACTGAGATTGAACCTCAGTTTTTAAGGGGTATTTATATGATTCAACTTAATTAAATACTTCAGTCCTATATTTATTTTTAATCACAACCACAATGCTTAACGGACACTTAGATACGATAGCTAACCAACTGAGCTATAACACAAAATCAATTAAAAAATATATTAATTTACTTAAATTTTTATATAACCAGTGAAGCACATAAGAAACCCCCATTGTAGAATAATTCACAGCTCATCTCTTCTTCTTCTTTTTCTTTTTTGGTAAAAAAAGCCCACTACTAACACCTTAACAATAAAAGGCCAACATCAATTTAAATTTAACAGAAAAAGCTAAAAACAATAAGGTGATTTTACTGTAATCTTTCTTATAAAATATTATTGATTACAATTTTTTCTCTGTTTTTTTATTTATATATCTTTTTAATTTTATCTTTCAATATTAAATTTATTAATAATTATATTTTATAATTTTATTTAATTTATTTTTATTATACTTCTTTTTATAAAATATTATTCACTAAAATAATTTTATCTTCTTTTCTTTGTTTTTTACTTTTTAATCAATATTTTTTTTTATTTCATCTTTCAATATAAAATTTATTAGAAATTGAGTTTTATAAATTTTTTTAATTTATTTTTTATAAAGTTATATCAATCTTATAACATAGACTAGACTATGTATTTAATAGGTTAATTTAATTGACTCAAGTTTTTTTTTTTAACTATTTTTTTCAATTAACACTAGATTAATTAAGAATTTAGCTTTTTAATTATTTTATTTTATTTTATATTTAGTTATTTCAATCTTATAAGTTTAATAAATTAACTCAAATTATTTTTGTTTTTTTAAATTTTATCATACAACATTATATTTATTAAAAATTAAATATCATAACATATTTTAACCTAACATACATGTTAACAAATTACTTCATGTTAATTCAAATTAGTTAAATATATTTCTATCTCGATATTTAAAAAATATATATACAATTTTTATTATTTATTTTAAATTAAATTATATTTTTATCATTAGATTAAGTTAGTTTTAAATCTATCAAATCAATCAAATTATATCAAATCAATTCTAACAATTTTTAAAAAAAATACTATTATAAAAAACATTTGCAACTACTCTAAACATTCATTTACGCTAAAAAATCTAGTATATAAGGATATATATCTAGTATATAAGGATATATTTAGAATTATAATAATAATGACAGTTCAAATACTTTTTACTTACAAGTATATTAAAATAATTTTTTTATTTATTAAAACAATTTAAAAATAAATTTTTTTATTTATTAAAACCATTACCATGTTAAAACAATTTAAAAATATAAAAATAATTATTTTTATTTTTAAAATAAATTTTGAGGGACCACATTGCAACTCCCACTAAGCACAGTTTGGGCCATAAACAGTGCACAAAAACCGAAAAAACTCCTGCATAAACTATTCTTTTCTTTTTCTTTTTATTCTAAGGATACGTAACAACAGAAACAAATGATCAAAGGAAGTATGAGTTTCTATACCAGCACCTAGAATAGCATTACAAAATTTTAATAAGTTTCTATACCAGCACCTAGAATAGCATTTCAAAATTTTAATACATCACTTTTATGTTGTTAAGAAAGAAATTTCACCATGTATGGTCCTTCAAGCTCATAGCCCAATTTTCCGTAGTAATGACGGGTTCCTACGCCTGAAATGACAGCTATTTTGGTTGATCTATGCTCCTTGCGAGCAATGTGTTCTGCCTCTTCCATCAAAAGTGTACCATAACCCTGTTGGGAAAACAAGAAAGTAAAAAGAGAGGAAAATAATCCTGCAAGCATCTATTTTCCATGTTGAACCTTTCAAGTACAAAGTTTAACTAGTAGCCTAACAAATTGATCAAACAATCCTTGCTTTACTAGAGTCAATATAATGGCATTTCTACGTTACCTGGTGTTGCAGCTTCTCCGCATCTCGCCCATGAACAGGAACGGCAGTTCCATAAACATGGAGTTCACGAACAATAGAGCACTTCCCCATAAGCTCAGGACAAGTAACATTGCGGCCACATTTTCGTAAGCGCAGTAGCCCAACAAGAATATCCTGTGAGCAAAAGAATCATTTGAAACGTCATACTATGCTCAGCAATCAAACCTTCTCCAGTAATCTAAATTAAGAAGCAACTAACACCAAAACAGCTAAATTAGACAGTTCTCTCAATTATTACCAACAAAAGCTCCTCAAGACATTCCAACAAAATACTGAAATCCTAAAGGATTCAAAGACTTCATTTTCCTCTCAGTGAATGACAAGAAAAGACATGCATTCATGCATGGATAAGATGTCCCAAAATACCTGGCGTGTATCCTCATAGGAAAGAAATGTTTCCCAGCCTTCATTAGCAGTATATTCACGGCGAACTAGTTGAACTTCTTCTGGCTTAATTTTGTGATGAATGTCCTATGGGCATAACAGAGACACTTGTTAGAATCTCAAATTATCATAGCCAATAGCACAAAACCTGATTTGATGGTAATAGCTTATTCATTCACCTGGATTCCAGCCTCACGTGTACGGACATCACGGCATTTCAGGCCCAAATCATCCATCCTAGCTAAGGCTAACTCCCTGAGATTTCCTTTCTCAACTCCAGATGTAACTAAAGGCATAGGAATATCTCGTTGAACTCTATATACACGAGTCCAAGGGGGTACCATGGCTAGGATCCTTGCTACAATATCTACAAGTTGCTCAGGTGGGTAATTTCTATACCTACAAAATTGAATCAACAATGATTAGTACTTCATGAATCACACATGCAAAGAACAATGACACTATACCTGCCAGTTTTCCATAGCTCATAAAGCCCAGTTCCACGAATTACAAGTGTAGGATAAATTTTGAGCCCATCAGCTCTAAAAGAAGGACTCTCAAAGAACTCTCGAAAACTTTCCAAGTCTCTCTCAACCCCAACATTAGGAAGATCAGGCATCATATGAGCAACAACCTACAGTAAAGAAATATAACGGAGACAAATAAGCAAAGGAAAAACATACCTAGATCACTAATCAAAATATAAAAAAGGATCAAAAACACCATCACCTTAAGGAAACAACATGAAATAACAGCAACTCAATGTTATTTAAAAAGGGGTATGTTTTTAAGTGAGAACATGATGCATTTTTGAAACTATTCA